CCCAGTACCCCATCTTTGTGATGTTGAAAGTTACCTGTTTAACATGAAATCCTGCTGCATAGCACAGACCTCTCAGTGCTGAAAACTATATAAATCACTTTGGCTCGCTTTAATACAGATCTTACTTGCTGTCAAATCTTGTTTATTTAGGGGTTAAGTTAGCTTGGAAGTTGTAGTGGGGTGAGCTAACTTATCTCAACTGTTTATATTTGGTTCTAGGAGCAGGCAAGTTATTTACTTGGAGGTCTTTCTTTTTACCTTTCTTTATCAGGTATGTCAAATTTTGTGTTGGTGTTTTTTCATCTTGTGTCAAATATGTTTCATGTAAGTTTGTACTTTATGTTTAATGTAAAAATAAATACGAGCCCTTTTCTACAATTACAATTACCCTGCGGGAGAGGAGCTGGAACGGGCAAGTTATTGACTTGGAGGTCTTTATTTTTATCTTTCACCGTCAGACACAACCCAAGAACACATTGGTTACATCCAGATATCTTTTTGGGAGAAATACCTTGCTATTTTACAGAGACAATAGTAAACAACAGTGATGTGCAATACTGCAGATCTTGGTAATAATTTAGCACCAGATACCAAAACTGATACTTATGCTTTTAACTTATGAAGGCAGTTTATGCAGGGTACCTTTCAGGTTTTCATGCATTTTGAAACTGGAATTTTTGGAGACCTGAAATGTAAATGTACCTGTCTCTAAAGCACAACTTATGCTGTTTAAATGCAATACACCTCACAGTCAACACAAAAAGATTTTGACATTTTTCATAACTGATGTTTGAGCAATTTTTTTTCATAAAAAAAAGCTATTTTGCACAATTCAGCAGGCTATATATATGTGTGTGTGTGTGTGTGTGTGTGTGTGTGTGTGTGTGTGTGTGTGTGTGTGTGTTCAATACAAATACCAATGTTAGTTACGATACTATCAATATTTTAATTGATCTGCCCGCCTCTAGTAAACAACATGCTTTGTCTATTACAATAGCATGGCCTCTTAATAGAAGAGTCAAGGTATTGCAGAATCCAGCAGCTAGAATTCTTTTACATCCATTGAACTTTCACTATGCTACCCCAGTACTGAAGTCACTTTATAAGTATAATATATGAAATGCACTATATAAATAAAATATCCATTGGACAGTCCTGCCCGCAGTCCAGACCTTTCACCAAGTCAAAACATTTTGTGCATCATGCAAAGAAAAGGCCTTGAAAGAGTCAAGAGTGTTAAGAAGATAGAATCTTATACTATGTCAGACAAAAATGGGACAACATTCTGCTCCCAAAAGTCCAATAACTGGAATTTTCAGTTCTTAGATTGATGGACCTTTAAGTGGGGACACTATACAGTGGTAAACATGGCCCTGTCTCAGCATCTGAGTTGCTGTCATCAAGTTCAGTTAATGGATCAAATGCACTGAAAAGGCTGTTTTGTTGGGATCAATAGAGGACAATTACTGTTGTTTTTTACATTTGCCCTGCCCTCTTTTAGGGCAGGGCAAATGTAAAAAACAACAGTGATAGAACAGCAAGCATCTCGAGAAACCAGAGGACGAGGATGCTCATTAATCTCTGAAAGCCATGATGATAGCAGGTTTCTTCTTTCTGATCTTCTTCACAGGTAAGCTGATAATTCCATCTAGCTTCATAGAGCTGACTTATGGTGCTTTTAAAATGTAAGTAATCAACACTTTATTTTAACTTCATAAAAGTAAGTAGTAAGTATGTAGTTCAGTATGAAGTCTGTTTTCCTCTGAAACCAGCCATTTACCACCAAAGAACAGAAATATCCTTTTGATAAATTACACATTTTTCCGGCTCCTACTAAAACCAGATTTTTAAAAAAGAATATTAATGGATCAGGGCTTTTAAACACATTAATAAAAACAAAATGCATTTATGGGAGGAAGACAAAACTAAAAGCAAGATATTTGATTAAAAATTCAAACATGTGACAAGAAAGTAACAAGAAAAAGCACAGAATAATGGCATGGAAACACATAGGGACTTACTAGATGCTTACTGATTACACACAGAGTAATCAGTAAGTGAGCAGGGGGTAAACAATACACAGCTGAAATCAACAGACAATGGCAGGGGAGAAAATAGAACTCCATGTAAGACACCGGGGACAAATAATTATGAACATTTTTCAAAAGGATGTAAACAACCAAGACTAAATAAAGCTTATCTTAACCATGCTGTTTAAAACAAGAGATAGTGTACACTTGGGAACAAAGCAGACATGGAGACAATTAAAGCAGGGCAGACATTCACGGAAGAAAGTGTGAAAAGTCTTTGTTTTGTCTTTGTTAATCTGTCTTTGTCACTGTAATGCTGGGGTTTGTCGATCACTTTAAAATGGACGGTGTGGAGGAGGGGTTGTTTAATTGAGGTGCACAAGTGGTTCATCGAACTGACAGGCTGAAGTTAACTCTGTTCCCTCTAAATGTGCTTTTTGTTCAACAATTTAGCTGTACAGACCAAAAGTGGAATCATCTGTCAAAGTATATCTCTACAAGATGCGATCAGTACTATTATAAGCAATTTTAAGATATGACTTAACCACCATTTATATCAGGATTAAGTCTTTTGCTAGTTATACCCAACCAGTTTATAACATAATAGGTTACTACATATAACTACACAACCACCTTAAAACTCTACAATTTCTTTGTCTCCAGCTTTGTCTTTTTCTCCCCGTATACCAGCACTGATTTAGAGCTTTTGTCTAAATGACAACATCATTCAGGACAACACTGCAACAAGAATATAAGCCTTCATTGGAGAGTATCACCATTAAATCAAGGTTGCCTTTTCATTCAGCTGCCTCTCAAACGCACATAAAACCTGAAAGAATAAACTTATGTTGAAACCAAGCACACCATTGTTTTTCTTGTGACATTACCAATAAGTTTGATGTGTCACATGGCCCTCTTCCTATTGAAAACTTCTAAATGGCAACTATGGTCACCACCCATCTTGAGGAGTTTGCCCCCTCACATATACTAATGTGCCACAAACAGGACTTTAATATCACCAACCATTCCCATTTTACTATGGTGTATCCATAGTATATCCATAGTATCCATATAAATGGCCCACCCTGTATAACGCAAATGGAAATTAAATGAATCATTAAGTGAAATACAAACTATAAAGGTCCAAAAAGAATAACTGTGTAAAGCTATATCTTCCTTGGCCTGTTCAACAGCCAGGTCTGGCTGGAGTTAAGAGAATTCATGGGGTATATTGTATATTGCAGCCAATATTTCCACTGCCTTTAGCACTGGCAAAGGTCAGTTAAAAATTGCGTACATTTGAATGAATTCAAGGTATAAATTCATCACCAGTAACACAATAGTAAACCCTATTAGAAGTATGAGTTTGGTAAGTGGGGGCATCTAGAATTGTATAGAAATATATATATAATGTTATGGAGGGCCTGGCATCATCTTGTGCTTTATTTGTGTAATATTATATCATGTGATTTCGCTACAAGAAGTAGCACTGTGTATAATGAATTAAGAAATGTGATGAAGTGAAATATTCCATGAGTAGGGTTTACTTTCTTTTTTTTACCTCATCCTATAAGTTATATATTTTATAAACTCTAAAATTACAAATGTTACAACATTTAATGCAGTAGAAGTGTATGTTTTTAATCACTATTTAACGAAACATCCAGATTTCATTAATAAAGGGGAAGAAACTGACATGTTCTTGTACTCTTTTCTGCCAGGTGGAAATGCTTTCACTGTAGAGCTACACGATGATCAACAGATGCCCAATGACACCATTACTACAGGTACAGAAAGAGCACTTCAGAAGTTGTCAGGAATTATAAATATATGCATTTTAAATTAATTATCTAGCCAGTTAGCTTTTCTGTTTTACAAATGTATTCATTACTTCTTTTGACTATTTAGATTATATTATTAGATTATATTTATTGTTTATATTGTTAATTTAGTACTTTCTATAGTAAGAAACAGTATATATGTCATGAAGACAATACATGTATATGAGAAACCTGTTTGTCACACACATATATTTCAGATCATCAAGCAAATACAACATTGACATTACACAACAATAACCAGAGTAACTACAAAATGCAGTTTTTAAATGATGATTTCAGGAGGGGGGGGGGGGGGGGGGGGGGGGGGGTGTAAGTTATGGACAACCTACCTTTGTCCCACCCTCAGCAGCAAGAATTGCAATCAAGCGTCAAGCAATCACTGTGGGGAAATTTGGGTTCACTCTTCTTTGCTGAGTTGTTTTAATTCAACCACACTGGGGTCTGATTTAAATCTGGATTTGCAGTATGCAACTCCAAGTCTTCATTTTATTCTTTGAACCATTCAGAGAAGTTGGATCAAATACTTCACAGTCCAAGTCTGGTGGCTAGAAATTCTCATTTTGGGTAGAAAAGAGAATTTATGGTTCTATTGATGATGACAAATAAAGCAGCAAAGCAGCCCCAGACTGTCACACTACCACCACCATGTTTCACTGTTTGTAAGATATTGTTGGAATAGGACCAGGTTTGTTCAGAGAACCTTTTTTCCCCTTGATGCATTTCTTATTTATTCAGGTTACTGATCAGAAACAAGTAAGTGTGACAAATATGCAAAAAACTAAGAAATAAGATGGGAAATAAAGACTTTTTCATGGGATTCTACATACATACAGTTGTTATATACACTCATCATATGCAACAGTATCTATTTATTTATTCCAGGTGGAAATGCCTCTGGTTTATTGCCACAAGATGTTGATCAGCAGATATCCAACGGGACCTTTAACAGAGGTACAGGTCTATTTTTAAATACATGTGCAATAATTTGCTTTCTCTGCCAATTTATTTTTGATTCATTAAGCAGACTATCTGAAAATAAACTTCAGATTCAGTCAAAGATTCACTTAAATTTTGTGAAAATAAACTCTATTTATAATTTTCCATATTTTGTTGTACATGACTATCAACAATGAAGGGTAATATGCAGAGTGGTAATGATTAAGTTGATTACTAATCCTTGCAATAATCCTTTCTGTCATCGTTGTATTTTTACTCAGTTGTATATAGTATTTGTATTTGTATTCTATTTTTATCTTATTGTATATTTATTTTATTTTATTCTACTGTATATAGTATTTTATTTTATTCTATTCTGTACAGTTGTGTACTGTATTTATTCTTATTGTATTCTAATTTTTGCCTCATAACTTTTGCACTGTCCACTTCCTGCTGTGACAAAACAAATTTCCCACGTGTGGGACTAATAAAGGTTATCTTATCTTATCTTACTAAAGCCAAGCTATTTCTTCCCCCCTAAGGACCTTGAGAAGCTGATTCATGCATTCATTACTTCGAGACTAGACTACTGTACCTCCCTTTATTTTATTTTGGTCTCCCACACTATTTTCTTAACTGTTTGCAATTAGAATAGATTGAATGCCTTTATTGTCACTATACACTTGTACAATGAAAGACAGAGCATCTCCTTCTCAGTGCAAACATGCTCGGGGGGTCTGCAGCACTACATACATATGGACAGTATTAACAGAGAAAAAATATATGAAATGTAAGAATATAGAAGCCAGTTTTAAAAAGCAATATGTAATAAACAGTGTTATGTATATACAGTTGGGTTACATAGAGGATATGAACAACCAGGTGCCAGAATGAATGATCATATTACTCCAGTTTTAACTAGCTTACACTGGCTTCCTGTGAAATTTCGTATTGATTTTAAAATTCTTTTACTCACTTATAAAATTTTAAACTGTATGGCACCTAGCTATTTAACAGGACTTCTCCATTTGTGTAACCCAAAAAAGCACTAAGATCCTCTAATCAGATGCTCTCAATGAAACCCAGGTCTAGCCTGAAAGCCAGAGGCGATCGTGCCTTTGCTATCGCTACACCTAGACTATGGAATAATCTCCCTGTTGCCATTCGTACTTCTGATACTATTCAGTCTTTTAAATCTTGCTTAAAGACTCATCTATTTACTTTGGCCTTGACTCAAGTTAGTTGATTATCATTTGGCAGGCTTCTATGTTTGTCTTGTGTTGCTGTTGTCTCACTGTTGGTTCTTGCTCTTAATTTGTGAAGCACTTTGATCAACATTGTTGTTGTTTTTACATGTGCTTTATAAATACATTTTAATTTTAATTTAACTTAAATTGTATGGATATCATCATCAGAGTGTCTTGATGCTGTTTCAGAAAAAGAAGAGAACAATAATGGAAACTGTGGTTATAACGATGTTGTAAAGTTTCTAAACTTGAACAAAGGCAATGATAACTACACTCTGACAAGGCCTGTGAAAAACTACAATACTGTTACAGAGATATCACATCTAATGAAAGTTTTTGGGATCCTAGATATGGTAAGTAGTTTCTATTTTTGCTCATGAAGCATCATTCCCTTCTGCCAAACATTAATTCTTTACTCTAGTTATTTGCTATTATTAATGCTCTATACTTATAGTTATTATTATTAGTTAATACTGTTGTGGGTTGTCTTCAGGTTTTGGTCATCTGCTTGCACTCTGAAGTTTAATGATGAGAGATATACATTGCTATGTTTTTAGAGCCCTACAAATTTTGAATTTGTATTTTATACAAGGAAAGGTATTGTGTTTTACATAAGGATGGGTATCGTTTAGGTTTTATCCGATACCAGTGCCAAACCAGTATGTTGCCGGTGCTTAAACGGTGCTCGAACCGGTGCTTAAAGAATGGAGAACACAAACTTTGTCCAAAAACCTCTCATATTTAGCTGTTCTGTGTAAAAAGATAACAATGTTAGCCTTTTCTGCAGCTATAGGGCATATATGGTATCACTCTTGGCTGGAAGCAGTGCTTAAACAATGGAAAAAACACAAACTTTGTCCAAAAACCTCTCATGTTTAGTCGTTTTCCACTTTTTCTTTGGTCATTTTAGCCTTTTTGGTCAGGGTGAAGGGAGTATCTGCCATTAAAACAACAAGACAGCCACATGTAACTATGATGATGTTTGCTAGTTCACCTTACATGCATTAATTTAATAACGTGGTTAGCCTACTCAATGTAAATTACACACGAACAACATTAAGCTACTCCCCCAAAGAAGAACAGCTACTGCTGCATCATCATCCGTCATCATTTCTGCTACACTGGCAGGGCTACGGGCCAGGAGTCTCCTCTTCGGGTTCTTGGGGGATGTTGATAACTCCGGGTCCGATAACAGGCACCACACCTGCAGTATATGTGCTCGTCGTTCGTCGTCAGATTCGAGGTGTTACTTCCTTTGCACAGTATCACAGTATCATCTGAGTTGATACTGATCTAGTTTGCATGTTTTGCTGTGAAGTACAGCCAGACTTTTGACCGCTTCGCCTTGGGCATTTTTAATCTGTAGCTCTGCTCTAAAAGAACGTACGCACCTGGGCCCGCCTACTATCCTTGCAAAGGTAAAATGATTGGCTAGAATCCAAAGTGCATGACATCTCAGGAAAAAAAGGACCGAAATAAAGCACCAAAATGTGCGCTGCTTTTCGGTCTGGTTACTACTGTTTATGTCAGAACCGATACTGGTACTCATCCCTAGTTTTACAGCACTTTTGTTAGCTACAGTTTGCTAATTGCATCGCTGGCAAGATATAAGATCCACTATAAATAAAGAATTGTTATTTCCATCTGGAATAAAAATTATTTGGGTCTGTTTTTGGGACCTCTTCACCATTTCTGTGACCACATATAGAATACTCAGGCACCTAGTCTAATCTAGCGTCACCCTTGATTTCTTTGCACACAGAAAGAAACCGAACAGCTCTTCATTTCTTATATTTGGGTATTTTTGGTAAGTTTTTCATTAGAAATACACAATTTCAAGCTATTGTTGAAATATGGATTTCATCTGTTTTTCTTGCTTCCATCCCTCCCTTCTCTTTTACAAAACCTTGTGTAGAGATGGAAAAATGAGCACATTTCTTGGAACCCAAAGGAATTCTGTGGACTTGAATCCATAACAATTCCTACTGAACTGTTATGGATGCCAGATTTAATTATCGAAGAAATGTAAGTTTAATATTAATATGCTTAATATTTATATTCTATCCATACACTCTTAGATGTAGAATAGGAGAACAGAATAAAAATAATCCTTTAATTGTCCTACAAGGGGAAATTTGGTTGTATCAGCAGCAAAACAAAACAAAACACACATATACAAAAAGAACAGGACATAGGACAGAAAACGCAATTTTTACATATTTACATCATGGACAATAGTTACCAGAGCAGAGCAGAGTACAGTACAGTTGTTAAAATTAGCGTACAGATAGTGTGCAAACAGAGCAGGATAGTGAAAGATGTTTAAATAGTTACGAATATTTAGAATAATTAGAAAAGTGCAGATTGTGTATTGTACCTGTGCATTAAAAAGTAGACATGTAACTTACAATAAGTTAGTGTATATATAGGCTGAGAAAAAGTAATGTGCAGTTATAACAGGAGAAGCACTGATGTAAACATCTGTGTTTGTTGGGAGCAGTTTTGATTGTACAGTCTGACAGCTGCACGGAGGAAGGACCTGCGGAAACGCTCCTTCATGCATCTAGGATGCAGCAGTCTGTCACTGAAGGAGCTCTGCAGTTCAGCAACATTTACATGCATGGGGTGGGAGACTCTATCCATCAGAGATGTTATTTTGGCCAGAGTCCTTCTGTTTCCCACCACCTGCACTGAGTCCAGGGTGCATCCCAGAACAGAGCTGGCCTTCCTAATGAGTTTATCAACACAATTGTCTATAAAATTCTGAGCTCCACCTAGGGGGGCAGTAGTCCACAATAGATAAACAAAAACAAGAAACACAAGAACAACTATTAAAGAGAAGTGGTAAATGGCCTGTATTTGTATAGCGCTTTTACTAGTCCCCCCTAGGGACCCCAAGGCGCTTTACACAGCCAGTCATCTACCCATTCACACACACTGGTGGAGGCCTACATGCTACAACTGTAGGCACGCTACAGTTGTAGCCACAGCTGCCCTAGGGCGGACTGACAGAGACGAGGCTGCCATATCGCGCCATCGGCCTGGTAGGTGAAGTGTCTTGCCCAAGGATACAGTGACTGAGACTGTCCGAGCCGGGCCTCGAACCGGCAACCTTCCGATTACAAGGCGAACTCCCAACTCTTGAGCCACGATCGCCCCGCGAATAAAAAAGGACTCGGTCACTTGGTCGGAATGTATTCACATTCACAGACCCACCAACAGTTATGGTGATGCTGTAACATTGTTATTTCATGGAAAAAATATGAGAACTGTGCCTACACTTTGTGTTAAAAAAGAGGGGGGAGACTGTTAGAAAAATTTATTATTTATAAAATGTGCTGCTTGCTTTTGCTTTAATTTCATTTCTCATGGTCTATGATAGATGCTATGGAATTGCACTATACCTCGTGTAAAATTTGTTTTTCATTTTCATTCAGGACAGAGAAGGATAGGGCTACTACAAACCCTTTTCTGACGATTTATTCAAATGGCAACGTCTCATTTAGGAATGATCATGTGGTAGTAAGCACCTGTAAGATGAATGTGTACAAATTCCCCTTTGACATTCAGAGCTGCAACCTCTCCTTCAAGTCAATGACACATACTCGTGAGTTCATAACAGATTTTGTTTTTCTTGGTCTCAGGTATAGACATCATCAGATACCACGGCATATTTTTCTTCCTTACTGATGTGATTACTGCATTTTCCCACTTCAGCTCGAGAAATAAATTTGAAAACACTGGAAAATGATAAAGTGATAACAAGGTGGTCCAAAGACTTGATAGAAACACAGGATGAATGGGAGTTCCTCAACATTACAGTCAACAACCAAACCAGTGATTTGGACTCATTTCAATCTATGCTTGTTTACACTGTAAGTATTTTGAAAACATTTATCCACTTTAGCCACACAGCATCAAGCCAAACCATATTTCTAGTTTAATTCATTTGTCATGAAAACAAAGGTAATCCATTGTGTAGCTTTTTCCCCCCGGCAGCTTTCAATTCCTAGGTTTCTTCACCATATTTATGATTACTGACACCTACTTCGGTTGCCGCGTTCTTAAGCTCCAACAAAGTAATTTTTGCCCTGTTGATAAAAAAAATGGCACTGGATACTGAATGTACCAAATGTTTATTTATTGCTGATTATTACTTTAATGATTATGGGAAGAAGTATATTGTCAGAAAAGTCATTGCGTTCTAATAGTATACTGCAGCAATTCTACAAAACCAACTAGATTAGTATCAAATAAAATGATTATTATATGATTTTTTTTAATCCAAAAATATTTTAATGTTATTGAACCTCTCCCAGATGGAGAGCAAACAGCTGGCAAATAATCTCATCCTCACAGAGGATGTGATCAAACAAGGTATTGTGCCAAAACGTGATTGTCTGCCAAAACATTAGTACAGGAATGTTGTTTGTAGCTCAAGAATCAATATAATTCATCAGAGATACATTTGATATTTGTTTCACATATTATAGGCCAACAAGTCATTAATTACAGGCAATCACGTTTTGACAGATGATCGCTTTTGGGCGATAGCCTGGTTTAGCCTGGTTAAGCTTTCAAAATAAACTCAAGATGTTGGGTTAGTTGTTAAATATGCCCAAGGCTAATCTAACAACTGGTCCCACAAGAAGACCAACCATATGGGAAATCATTTGGTAAAGCTCAAGCAGGGAGTTCAACCAACAAGGAGCATTGTAACAAAAAGTGGGAGTAAACTTAGAGTGAATGGCCTGCAGGGTACAATCCATTTGACTAATCTGCTGTGAAGTTGGCTTTAGTTGCTGGACCAAAGCACCGAGAACTTGGTCATACTCACCTAACATGGCCCCATGACGGGTATATGGACTGTTTCCAAGTCTGCTGGGCCTGGAGATTGGCCGGGTTGTTCTATCATGGTTACTGGTGAAATAGACTAAGAGTTGAGTTTATTTACAGAGGGGCACATTGGGGCATAGGCAAGAGATACCAAGGGGCACCAAATGGGTGCTGGCAGCCATGGAAAGTCTGTAAGAGAAGGAAATAAAGTGTTCTGGTGCCAACGTGGCTGCAGGAGTTGGTTACATCCATTCAAGATATTTGCAATTCCTCTAGATGCTCCGCAATGCATTTCAGCAGTGTCGCATTAAGCAAGTCTCGCTTCATGTGGCTTAAATTACAATCCGGTCTATTTTTTATGGAAGCTGAAGAAGGGCAGGAAGCCAGTCATAGGGCATTGAGAATTTGGTGATTTTCAAAATAAAGGTGCTATACCCATGTATACTATACTATACTTTCTCTGGCTTTCTGAAACATTCTCAGTGTAATTTGAAGTTGTGATGAGGACAGAACAAAAGTCCGTGTCATAAGCATGAAGGTGATTTTTCTCACTCAGCGTTCTCTGCATTTGCATCTTTTCTCTGTGCACACTTGTTTTTCCTTATTTACTTTTTGTGCCTGCCTTAATAGTTAATGCAAAGTAGAAGGATGATTAACCACTTGACACATGATTTCACAGATTACCATGAAGAGGAGATCTGTCCTCTACATTGCCAATTTCATTCTGCCGATCCTCTTCTTCTTAATTCTGGACTTGGTCTCCTTCCTGATCTCAGATAGTGGGGGTGAGAAGCTCAGTTTCAAGGTGACTGTCCTGCTTGCTGTCACCGTGATGCAGCTTATACTCAATGACATTCTGCCGAGCTCTTCAAACAAGGTTCCACTTATAGGTAAAGAAGACGAGTTTATTTGATGGAAGACATTAGTTAATCACATTAACACAACCTACTCTCCTCAGCTCTCTACTGCGTTGGGGTTTTTACTCTGATGCTGCTCAGCCTCTTGGAAAGCATTTTAGTGATGCATCTGCTTGATAAAGACTCTGCTACACAAAACAACAAGACAGATGGTGACCAAAGCCTAAGTGAGTAGCACTTAAAACTTAAAATGCTGTTTTTACAGGTGAGCTTAATCATAACAGTTATTCTACTTTTGGATCTAAAAGATATCATGTATGCAAGTTTACATTTCTGGTTATGGTTTCAATTATGTTGCTTTTTGTGTTTAATATGTCATTCCAGGGATGAAGAAATGTTGTCACTGTGCACCTGTATATGATGCATCGCCTGATGAAACAGAATCTGTGACCAAAGAGGTGAGAATTAACACGTTTTTAGGAAGAAAAAAAACCATATAAAAAGTTGTCATGTTGCATGAAAGTTAAAATGTGTGTTTGCATATCAGTTAAACTATTATTCCAGTCACAATGGCAACAAACCAGTTTTTAAAAAGTACCAGCAGTCATTTCACCATACATGTACTGCAGGTAAAATATTAAACACATCACCAATTTTCTAAGTAAATCTTTTTTTAAAGGTATTATTGATATGAAATTCTTCGCAGATGTTGGTAACAACCCATCCAATCTAAACTGTAGCTGCCCACAAATAAAGTTATATATTTCCTTAGAGATATGGTTATGTGTAAATTAATACTTAATTTATTTCTGTATATAATTTGCAAGCTTGTTCATTTCCTTCTTAAAAAAATAAATCTATACTTTTACAGGATAGCAGCAGCAAATTGATGGAGGCATCCCTTAATCTCAAACAAGTCTTAAATGAACTGGAAGAGAACGGGAAAACAATGAATCTGCTTGGCAGTAAAAGGAAAGACGTGAAGTCTGGCTACTGGACTAGAATAGCTAAAAGAATCAATAAGATGTTCTTAATTTTTTATATCACAACACTCACTGTGTTTTTGGGAACTATGTTTTCATTGTGGAACAGTGAAAACTACTAGGGCTGAAGTAAAAAGCAAACCAAAAAAATGAAGTGATTAAGATCAACATGAACTTATTTTTAATGTGTTCACCCCTGCTGTTCTTTCCCATTGGTCCAAATAAAACCCGTTCTATTAAGGTGCAGGTTGATGATGGTTCACAGTAATTTACTTTAAAACCAGTCAGAAGTGTTTAAAGAGGATATTTACGGATGGAGCCCTACTCTCAAAAACTGAAAGGGATGTAACAGTGTCTGTGAAGCTGGACTTAAGAAATAACTGCTTAAAGTTTTAAAAGGATGTTTAGCACCATCTTCTGTCAGCACGGGATGTTATGTCACCAGGTCGGTCGGTTGGTTGGTTGCAGCAAATACACTTACATTAGTTTATCTTAGCTAACTAGTGACAGAATTGATAACTTGGAGGAAAATAAGGACACTAAACCTAAAAATCAGTTTAAGGGGATCAGTTTCAGGCTGCAAGAAACCAAGGATATACTGTCCACTTTGACTGTCTTTGTCTCTAGCAGTATTTGGCTCCTTGTTATTTGACTAGTTGCACTGAAAAGGGAAAATCCAGTGGTTAGCTGTAATGTAACTAACAGCTAGCAGATACTGCATGTTAGCTGCAATGTAATATCAGGTCCTTAAGCTTCTTAGTCATTATTTTTAGTTTGTATTCTGTTTTTGGTTGGTGTTAGAGTTGTTCTTTATATTTGATTCTTTTCTTTAGTTTAGTCTAGCCTCTCTAGTATTCCCTCCCATCTTATTATCTACTCTATCTCTGTCTTAGGTATTAATGTTGTGTTATTTACCTTTAATCCTGCTGGCTTGCCTTTAAAGTCTGTTTTTTTTTTTTTTAGCTCCCTTTAAATAAGGTTTATAACATATTTACACAATGGGTGAAGTTAAGACAGTCTAACACGTTGTTTGTGTTGTCTGGTATGCAGTGGAATGGTGAATTAACTTCTCCACTTCTTTTAAAGATTTTCTTTAAGCTCAGTTAAACTTTGTATTCGTTCGGACAGGAACTTGAGCAATGTCTGCCTATAATGGAATATTTCGTTTCATTAATTTTGACACCAATTACTGATCTATGTACATGTTTGACAAGTAATAAACAAAATGCTAATGTTCTGCCAATTCTAACTAATGAATATATTTAAAGTACAGTGTATTGGAAGTGTAGATCTTTTATGACTTGTGTCAAATATGGTAAATGGACTGGATCATAAATAGTACTTTCCTACTATACCTGAGCAATCAAAGTGCTTTATACAACTTGCCTTATTTAGGCAAAAGAGAAGGCAACTTGGGGTTAGGATATTTAGCATGGAGCAGCCCTGGATCGAACCACCAATCTTCCAACTAGTAGATGCTCTACCTCCTGCGCTACAATAGCCACGCTTGCTTATTTCTGGCAACATCAAGCATTGTAGCTCATGTTTCCTGTAAATCTATTTGCTTCCTAGATACTTTGTGTATTAGCATGAAATAATCAGTCCTGTTATCTGGTTCTAAAAATAAATAAATAAACTTCTCCTTTCTCTGTATGTTTCTTGCACAACTAACCCATCTTTCCAGCAAATTTAAAATTACCGATGAGACTGTCATGTTAAAGTGGCTAGCTTCATCTATAAAATTAACATATTTACAGACTAGTCCAAACTTTTGATGTCTATAACTAACCCCACTTCAAGGCAACTATTTAAATTGTTAAAAGTTGGCTAAGGTTTAAATCTGGGGGTGGGGACACTTGGGGGGCATTGGGCTGGAGGCTGGCTATACCCTGGACAGATATCCAATCTGACATCAATTTGTAGTATGACCTGATTAAATATCATGCATTCCCCTCCAATACTTTCCAATCATATGAAGCTGCGTCACTATCATCTACAAGGGCATTTTACACCTCACACATGGCTTATGTAATGCTTCAGTTCATGAAGAACAGTCTCTGCAACACCACTGAGTCCGTAATCCTCAGATATAGTATAACCACATCCATCCTACACTCCTACTCCTACAAAGCACTTCAGCTGAGTCAAGTGCATCCTTTAAATCACATAGAGGTGGAAGAGGAAGAGGTTTCTTTATTACAAGTATCCAGAGGGAGAACTGTGGTGTTGTCTGTAAAAGAAATCTATACACCCACATATCTCTCACATGGTCTCTATCTATCTCTCTCTCTCTCTCTCTCTCTCACACACACACACACACACACACACACACACACACGCACACACACACACACACACACACACACACACCACCTACCATTTGTCGCTGCAGTGCTCTCCAGTCTTCCCACTGAATAAAAATCAAGGATGACAGGGTAAGGGTTCAACTTCCAGTTTTATGGTGGTCCAGAAATAGTGACAATAATCAGCTCCTACCAATGTCCACCCTCCTAGTGAGAGTGCTTTAACTTTTAACTTAAAACACACCCACTGGGAGGAGTCTTGTGACCTAGGGGTGGAGCAATACAAAAAGGAAAGGGCAAAACAACCACACACTCATGTGGGTTTTTTTTTAATTATCAGGTGACTTTTTTTTCATTATGTCTCAATACATAGCACTTTACTGTGCAAATAGGCTACACATAACTGTATGAACACAAATCAGTGTAAATACATGTGACTATGTCATTTGGATCCCTGATGACAACCAGCGTTCCAGTGTTTTTAATGAGAAAAAAATGAAAGCATGGAAATTGCTTCATTGTTTTAATGTCATGAATTTAATCTCCGACACAGCATGCGTGATATGATTTCTGAAGAAATGGAAATGGAGCAAAGACAGTCAGAAGACACCTATTATGAACCACACTCATTATATTGCAGAAGTAATCACTGAAATGAAACCATTGATTGATTTTTTGATGGTTTTCATATTGATATTTCCTTTGCCAAATATTTTGTGTGTTTCTTTTGCTTATAAAACCAATGAGTGTTCAAGGTGTCAAGAACACATACAACCATATACCACAAAATATATATATTCCTTCCTGATCTGCTCAGTTATTTTTACATTCCTGTTTACATGTAGGAATATGATAGTGAGAGTATCTCCTCATTAACATGTCAGTCACTAATAACAGTGTCAACCATTTTGGCTTCAGTCAGTCTATAGTTGTTTACACTGTAAGTATTCCTGGAAATGTCATTGTCCGTGTTCTACCTACTTCACTGTAGATGCAAAACCTAATTGCATACCTTAACATCCATTCAGCATGGTTGCACTACTCACAACTCTGAATGTACGAATGTGTACTGTTCCTATTAGGGTCAGACTACACTGTCACATAATAATTCTTTCTTTTAACATAAATGTATTTGTTTTGCTTTTTCCTAGTGCAAGGAAAACACAATTTTCATGCTTGATTTTTTTTAAAGCACTGATATCTTAATGGATAAAAATGAATGCTGACATTGGAACAGCAGTACGTAATGAACTTGAATATTTTCAGTGTCTGATCACTGATTACTGATAAAGCAACAATAAGATCACAGTTATCAACTTTCTCTTTTTGCCAAATGGGACCGAACTGCGTCTCCTGATCGAGCACTGAAATATGTTTTCTTCTCCTCACATTCATATTTTGCTGCTTTGATTGATAAATATCTGAACATCTGAAAGATGATAAAGAAATGTGTGGCTGTCTAGATATAATTCAGTTTTGTATATTCCGGTGACATAGGATCTGTTGTTTGCAAGTCTGATACAGTTTTACAACATTTACACAACCTGGACATGAATTGTGGATTCACATGCCTTTATTACCTGGATGCTCTAAAATGCTCTAAAATCATCTGTAGATTCTTATAAAGCACACCAATTCCACAAACAAGACCAGTACAATGAACATTAGTGAAATTTTATCTGTAGAAACATCTATTTAAAGACACATGCAGAAGGAAATAGACAATAAATTTAGAAAAAATGTTTTGTTTTCTTAATTCATAATCATCCATAATACCAGCACATTTTCAATTGTTTTCTATTAATGTTTTTAATTAAAAGCCAGAGTTAAAGCTCTTCTATTGTTTAGATTGGTATGTAATCAGTCTGATTCAATTACTTTTAATGATTAAATATTGATACTGTTTAAAAAAAAGTTAACTTTTATTCAAAATAGAAAGAAAATACAATAATCAACGAGATTAATGACACACAGTTTGAGCTGGAAAATAGAATATTAAGAGTTTGGTTGAATGCAGGAAAAATATTAATTCCATGGCTTTTTTTAAAAACAAAAGCTTAAACAAATTAGTGTTTAAGCTTTTGTTACCACTCTGTTAGGATAGATACAATTTGCCCCACCCTCTGTTGGGCAGGGCTATGACATCAATAGAGGAAAATAGAAAACTCTCTAGACACCACAGAGAGGGTGAAAAAGCTCTCTGGTCTCTCAAGGCTACAATGATTGCAAGTTTCTTCTTCCTGCTGTTACTTGTGGGTAAGCTGAGATTATTCTAATTAAATGGAGATGACAATTTATACCATTTAATTTACTTTATTTTTTATGAGTATAAATATATTTTTATATTTTATTTTATTTCAATCAGTAACGCTTCTTTACTTGTAATAGATTGCATTTCAGTGCAAGAACAGGTTCCTCTATAATTTCCCAGTAAATATATCTTGTTTACTAAATTAAATTCCACTTTTTTGTAATTAATAGATCAGAGATATAAAATAAAAAGAAAGAAAGAAAGATAACACATCTGGTATCTAGTAACTCAGATGGATTTAAACTTAAGTATATTAAGTATATTAAGTATATATTATAAGTATATATTAAGTATATTTAATAAAGTATATTCAATATGAAGATGTTCAAAATGTTTTCAGATGGACTGCAGGCAGGCATTTTGGAACCTGGACTCTTTAGCTACAAATGTGTTGCTATAGATAAGTCTTAAATTCCCAGAGGTTTAAGATTCTTAGAATCTTTTGATGATATTATGTCCTGTAGATGATGAGACATTCAAAGTCTTCACAATTTTATATTGAGGAATA